CTTCTCCACAAAGCTTTGTTACTAGTTCTTGCTAGTACTACAATTAGCATACAGTCATGTAAATAATGTATAAAACATGACTCGGCACATAACCTTGAATAACACCTATGCTCAGAGACAAGGTGAAGGATGTTTGGTTGTGCATCCTTACAGTCTGGGGTCTGTTTGGTAGAAAGTCCAGTATCCCACTACAGAATGTTGTGATGAAACTGTCATGTCTGTGTGTAGGCAGGCAGGAAGAGAGGACCCAAAATGCAGGACTCACTGAGGCGGAAGTAATTCAGAACACACAGCTTTATTGCTGGTAAGAAGCAGAACAGAAAAACACTAACTAAACTGGAAGAACATAATAAGTAGGCAGGAAGGCTGGCTGGCTGGCAAACGGAACACACAGAGGAAGCGAGGGTGAACAGACGTTAACGATGCGACACCGAGTAGGGGAAGACACAGGCACTAAATACAAGAGGTGAACGGAGCGAAGAAGAAACAGCTGGGAGACATGGCTGACGCTGATTACACTGACGAGACAGGGAGAGCACAAAGCTGAACGCACTGACAAAGGACACAGACCTACAAAATAAAACAGGAAGCACACGCCAGACAGAGACAGACTCGTAAACAGGCATAATGACGTCATGGGCAAACAGAGGGACATACGGGCAGAGAAGACTAAGCACAGGCAACTTAAACCAAACATAAGGGCAAGATAACAAAACCTAAACCAGAAATGATCATCATCGTCATCAACATCATCATCATCAGATAACTAAAGAATCAGAATATAATCGTAATCAAAACAGTACCACCAGAGAATAACTAATCCATAATGCAAAAATAAACCAAAACATAAGAAACTCAAAATGCTGGGTCGACCCGACCCAGGACCGTGACAGAAACAAAGATGGAGGAGTATACTAGGTGTCCCTCTGCTTCCTAGAAAAAAGTCAGAATTCTGACTTTTTTCACCAGTTTCTATTCTCCTCGATGTGCTATGCACAGTCTAGAAATGGCAAAATATTATTCTTTCCAACGAGTTGATTTGAACCATGAAGGCTACTCCTCCTCGGGTTTTGATTTTGACCCAGGTGCCAGCCACACCAGTGGCTAAGTGCTGTCCCCTTAAAAAAGACAATAACTTTACTTTACACTCTTTTGACTACCATGACCTTAATGACTGAGATCCTATAAAGAATGCATGAATTTTTTTTTGCTTCAAGTCTAAATTGATTTCTTTTTTTTGGCATGATGATTTCTCAAGTGACCACTCAAACCCCTGCTGAAATTTCTGTACTGTGTGTAAATTGGAAGAGAATCCTCAGTTTAGATTACATCAGATTACAGATGAGTCTCGATATATTTTCTAATACTGTGTACAGTACTAGAGTACAATATATGGGTAGATACAGCCTTTCACTAACTTCTCCTTCAAATGCAGCAAGTGTCAGATACCTCCATAAAATGGCAATTCAAGTAAAGTTTAAATTATATTAAATGATGCCCATTTGATGTTTGTTATGGATTAGCCTTAACTATTTTAGCCTGATATCTGAATGTAACTTGCATTAATCAGGTCTGTATTTCTTTATGTAACTCTACATGTTTCAGACTAATATCTATGTAGCTCTTGCTTGTACTATTTTGTAAAACATTTCCCACACATATAATATGAAGACATATTAAATGCAGTACTTTAACTACACAATGTAATCTGTATTTAATTACCAGACCTGTATATATTTCATACACCTAGTCAGTATTAACAGTTAAAACTAACCAGTGTAGGACTCTAGTCTGTTTCCAACAATTATATACTTTCTTAATCACTTCAGACTATTTATTTTCAGTGATTGTGCTCACCAGGTGACACTCTGACGTTTTACTCAGTGCTGTTAAATGTCCCTTGGCAGTTCCAAACTGAATCAGGTTACTTGTAACCACCTTTCATTATCAGAATATCAAGGTGTTGCCTTGTACAAGTATGACAACAGAGTAAAGGTGATGTCTGATACAGTTACTGATAAATGACCAAACACTGAGCATTCCCTGGATTCTTTATGCTCTGTTGCATCTGTGCAAGCTCCATGCATTGTCTGAACCTTCAACAACAGAAAAAGGTCATACAAGTCTCAGGTGGTTTTATGTCTAATCTAAGCGAGAATCCGCATTAGTTGTTTTGTTATTATTGGGATGTTTTTCCACTTGGATTAACCAGGCACGTACAGGACACCCAAAGATCTAATCATTGTCAGTGATAAATATCAAGTTGAGCTAATCATCCTGATCTACATGTAGAAAATGTTCACAAGATGTGATGGCAAGGATATCACTTGCTATGCAGGGCAAGGAGCAAATGGTGGCAAAGGGCACATTGCCTTAACTAGTTGAAAAAACAGAAATGTGTGGATTTTGGTCCATTATCAAAAAAACTGACAGTGGGTTTAAATTAAGATGCGGTTAATAGACTTACATAGAAAAAAGCAGTTTGTGTGAATGAGTGAATGAGTAAAAACTGCTGAGTCATAACCACAGAATCAAAACCTGTATGCTTTAGGGACAAAATCAATGGACTACAGTTCTTAATTTTTGAATTCGGTTATTTTTTTCTGCATGATTGCCACAGGCATATGAAATCAAGCAGCAAACCATGGAGTCTACCTTTACAAGTTTTTTAAATAATTTCTTGTCCTAAAGAGCTCACAGCATTAGTACAAGCTGCGTTATTCCAACAGTGGTGTTTCCACCTCAAACACTCACATTATTATAATTGAGAACTGTCACTGTTCTTCCTATGTACATGTACGTTTAAAGAATGTGGCGTAACTGTCAGGTGTGTAGATTATTTGTTAAGGTCTAAAAGATGATGTCTACCCTATAAAATCTGTGAAATGAATTTTCTGAAACTGGGTTTAAATATGAAAGGACCTTTTGAATAAAGGCAGGACATATTCCCTTATTTCAAAGATTCAAAATTGAAGAAACAAATTAAATCAAGCTTTTCAACAAATATGGTTTGAATTTCACTATGAAGTGCGGTTCCATGCTTAGGTTGCCTGTACTTTGTTACATTTTCTTCACTTTAAAGTTAGATTAAAACAGTTTACGGTCTTTTTTCCAATCAATCAATATCCGTAAAGAGTCTTCAGCTAATGTTTGCTTTTATTTAAAGTTTACTGTCATATTTCCCAACAGTAGTACTTATTCATTGTCCCGTAAAGTGATCATCAAAATTAACGATAAGAACATCAACTGTTTTTTGTCCAAAATATGAAGCTTACATTTTAATATATCTCTACACAGACTACTTATCAGATGCAATAAGTATTTTATAAAAACAAAAAACAATCAGGAATTGAAACATTTTTATCATTCTGAAAAAAGAGACAAGCTGTGCTAAAAAATGGTTATATAGTGCAATAAAGTGTTTTCTGTAAATAACAAATACATCTGAGCCAAAGACATTTTGTGCTTTTCGCGAGATTATTGACACCAGTGATTGTTTTTAAATGGAAAAATATGCATTACTTCCTCCAGTAAAAATGGCATGATGCAAATTAAACGAGATCTTTACCTAACTGATTTATATGATTAGTTTACATTCATCCATGTTTTTACTTAGCAGGCAAAATTTTCTGCAGTTAAAAAAAAAAAAAGGATTGACAGTGATTTTAGAACATATTAATCAATTTGTAATAATTTGAGTATATTATGTTATATGGAACTACATAAGTGTCATCTATCATGCAGCTATAACAAAAGCATTTGTTTATTAAAGCTTTAAAACCAAAAGCTATCAAAGTTAAATCAAACTGACATTCAGGTAAAAGAGCCCGTTTCATAAAATGCTGCAAGACTTATCTCCGTCAGCTTTCTGTACATATTCTGCTATCCAGTCATTGATTTGTTTATCATGTTCTAGCTGTAGTTGGTTGATATCTTCTTCAATTGGCTCGCCCTCATTTCCTATAGAAAGATTGTAATTCAGCTCATCCATTTCTTGTTCCTGTTTTTTCTTCAGTCTGTCAAAGTCTCTCTTGTATTCTCTCTTCATGAGCAGATGTTTAAGTATGATGGCGTTGCTTTTTTGTTGTTTTTGCTTCATGTCTTCCATCTCACTGTCATGCTTTGCTCTCAACGCTGCAAAATCTACTGAATATTTCTGTCTGAACTCATTGAATTCTTCTGCTTGCTTTCTGGCTTCTTCTGCAATTTTCTTCTTCATTTCCTTGACTTTTGCCTCATAGATATCCTGCGCTAATTTCCAGTCTCTCTCCTCTTGTTCTCTCCTGAGTCTATCTTGTTCTTTTATTTTGCTTTCATATTCATTTCTTTCCTCATCATATTCTTCTTTGAGCTTTATAAGCAGCGCTTGTTCCTCCTCTTTCCTCTGTTTGTCTTCTTGATTTCGTTTCTCCCACCATTCTTTGCGTTCTTTTTCCCAAGCTTCGCGTTCTAATTTCATCTCTTCTCGGTTTTCCATCAGCTTTCTGTCAGCATGTACATTTTTTTCACATTCTGATTTTATTTTCTGCTCAAGAGCTTCAAGTTTTTCTTCCCACTGCATTCGGAGTTTTTCTTCATATCTTATTGATGCTATGGTCTCCTGTTCTCTCTTTTCCTCCTCTCTCTTTGTCTTCTCTTGTTCCTGGTTAATCAGTTCTTCCTTCTCCTTCAGTACTTCTTCTTTTTCTGCTCTTTCTTGATCAATTTGTTTCTTTTTCGCCTGAATTTCTTCATCGCGTTTCCTTTGAAGTTCTTCCATCTCTTTCTCCATATCTGCTTCTTTCTCTTTTAGGATCCTCTTCATTTCCTTTTGTATGGCTGCCTCAGCTTCTTGGAACATCTCTGTAGTGTAGCAGCTGCCACCATTTTTCTTCACCATTGTTTGTACTTTGTCTAAAAGCTCTGCGACTTGTGAATGATTATTTTGATCTCTGTTGTTGAAAACATGGTATCTTCCTCCACAGTCGTCAATCAGTTTTTTAACAAAGTCATCGCTGACTTCTTCCATGTAACTCTCTATTGTTTGATCTTGAAGATCATCCCCTCTGGTGAATATAACAATAATGAAGTCTTCTGATTTCTTGCCAAAAAACTCCTTGATGAGCTCTACTGTGTCTTTTTCTTCTTTGGTAAATCGACCAATCTGCACTACCAGTAAGAACGCGTGAGGTCCTGGAGACAACAAGCTGATGCATTTCACAAGCTCCTGTTTGACTTCATGGTTGGACAGAGTCGTGTCGTACAAGCCTGGTGTGTCGACCACAGCAACTGGATGGCCGTCGACCACTCCTTTTGCTTTTTTGCAAACCTCTGTCACTGACTTCATGCAGGTTTTAGAATAAAAGCATTTTTGGCCTAAAATGGTGTTTCCAGTTGCACTCTTCCCACAGCCAGTCTTCCCAATCATCACTATCCGGAGAGCATCTGGGCTGTGGTTGGGATTATCAAAGGATTCTGTCTTCTGTGAAGGGTTTCCTTCGAATTTAATCAATCGAGGCTTAACAAGCATTTGTCTTGTGAAGCACTTAGATCCCATAGCTGTCATCTTCTCCATAGTGTGCAACACCTCAGAGACCTGCTGCTTGTCTTTGATGTTGAAGATGATGTTTCGTCCTCCACACTTCTGACAGAGCTCCTGGATGTTTCTGTTTTCACTAACAAAGTTGACAACAACTGGATCTGTGGGATCTGATTCCACTGCAAAAAGAATCATGGTGAAGTCGATGACCTGAGATCCAAATTCATTCTGGATGATCTCTAACTCTCGCTTGTTTTCGTCACTGAGGGGTCCCACAGGAAGGACCAGGATAAAGGCATGGACACCTTCGGGATTCCAGAGAGAAACACATTGCATTTTGCAGCTCTTTATTGCCTCAGGAGATTTTCCATACAAAGCAGGCATCTCTACCAGCGACACTAAACGTCCACACACCTGTGTCTCCTTCTTAACACATTCTGAGGAGTCAGCAGGTTTACCAAACTGGTGTTTTCCTACAATGGCATTGGCTGCTGAACTCTTCAGAACTTCATATGTCCCACACAATACCAGGTTAAGAGGCGGTTTAAAAGTGACTGTTGTGGTGTCAGCTTCTTCACCTCTGTTTAGATAGCCTCCTCTGTTTTCATTCACTATGCTCTCCATCTTTTCCATGAGTTCTTGAAGATCCTTTTCTGGCAGATCTTTTTAGTCAAAGTTGATTCTCTGCTGCCTTTGTCTACAGTCCTGTATGAGTCGATCCACAGCTGAAGTTTTTTTCTCCTCACTATGCGTCAAAATGACCATTGCATATTTAAAAGCATCTTGACCAAAGAATCTTAGGATGAGCTTTAGTTTTTGTCTGTCTTCTTCACTGAATTCAGAAGGCTTTATCAACAGGAGCAGAACATTTGGTCCAGGGGGGCAAAGAGCCACACACTTCTTCATTTCATGCTTCACCTTCTCTCCAGCTAAACTGAAGACATCTGAAGTTTTCACTATTGTTAGGCGTGTTTTCCTATACTGTCCTTGAGTGACTGTAGTGGATGGGGACACCTTTTGCAGAAGATCCCCAGTCAAATCTTTTTTCCCAGTCATGAAGTTGGTTAGAATTGATTTTTTACTTTGAGTCTTTCCAAAAACCAGAATCCGAAGTTCATATGCTGTAAATCAACAAAAAAATTATTACATGTTTTCCAGCACATACATACATATTTATATCTTTTATTTCTTTTATTCTTTTTTAACTTTAATGTTTTTTTAATTATTTGTAAAAAATATCTTCTCTTTACGGGGAAGTGTTCAAATAATCTTTTTAAACTCTCTTATCCTTCTCCCCAAAACCACTGTGAAGGTTTGAACACCAGCCTTTTTAAATTTTTGGTGCATCAAATGATAATGTGCTAAAGCTGCTTGTATGTCTCACTAATGCACAAGGGGGCACATTTAAGAAATGTGGGGAGAGTTGATGCTTTTTATAGCTGTAGTAATTGTCCTTCAGTTTGTAAATTAGAAACGTGTAACATGTTCGGGATAAGTGTCAAACAGCTTCAAAGTTTCTAGATTCGGATGTTCATAATACATAAAATGCATATGTGTTTTGGTCAGGGTTGGACTGGGTCAGAAAATTGGTCCTAGCATTTTTTAATCCCATTATGTCCCTTCATCGTTGTCTTAGCCTGTGAATTTCACATTCCTTGATTTCTTCCTCACTTCTCCACAAAGCTTTGTTACTAGTTCTTGCTAGTACTACAATTAACTGCACCTATTTTTAGTTTCTTTTTATTGTTTTCATTTTGTTTTCCAGCTCCACCTCTCCGCCACTTCTTCCTGACGAAACTAATGCGTATGCAAGATTACCAGTCCAGCCCTGGGTTTGGGTAAAGTCATAACTGTCCCTACTGCCAACATAACTAGTGTTTCTAACTGTCATTCTAAGTGTGTTAACGGGAGTTAATAATTTTCTTTGTCACCTTTATCCTCCCTAACGCATCCTTATTTTCTTGTGACTTTTGCCTAGCACTGGGCTTAACCTGGATTTTAGCTGTCCTCGTCATGCTCAGATACTTGCATTCTTTCTGTCTTGCTATCTGTGTTATGTTCTGATAAATCTCGCCAGACTCACCGCGTGATGAAAGAGGTTGTGATGCCATAGCGCCACTGTGATAGAAATATGAGGAATCGGTTGGTGACTGTTGGATGAAAGAAAAAGGAAGAGAAAGTTGTCATCTAATAATAAACCATGAGACAAAAAGAATCTGAATACATGGACCTTTAGAAGAAACCTTAAAACTCCAGTGGGCTCTATCGTGTGGTGGATATGATGCCACAGGAGCAGGTAGAATAAGTGCAATATCATTGCCACTATAGGATCAGCCTGTGGATAGCATGGCTACAAATATTCTCCTTATCAGATTTGATAATAATGGCTCAGGTACTGGAGTACAAAATATATGTTTTATTTAATAATTGCATAGTGTCATTACATTGTTTTCCCTATGGTTATGAGAAGTCAAAAAGTTTTGACAAGACCTGAGAATGTGTTGTATATGTAATATAGTGCAGTATAGTGGTGTGGTAAAGGTCTGTCAGTGAGTGCAATAATATTATAAGGCAGAACTGGCAGTTGTATAAAAAAAATGGATGTTTAAAAAATGCAAACAATCATCAGAACAGTTTGGTATCAAAAGGCTTCCAACTAAAGTTGAATTATGAAAATAAATAAAGTAAGTCTAAATTATTTATTTATACTGGTGAACCTTATATGTAAATTCAGCTTGGAGAATTAAAGTCAGCTTCTTTGTACGTAGGATTTAAAAACTGACATGTCTGGTATTGCTCGTATCATGTTGTAGAACATTCACCCCAAAGTATAATATGAATATATACAAAATGTGGTACTTTAACTTACCTGCATTTCTGTCATATACTTAATTAATATACACAGTTGTGACTAATCTATTTAAGACCACACTCTTTTTGTAGCACAATTACAGATTTTATTAAGGACTTGAGTCTACCATGACCTACAAAACCGAGAACAGATGCAGTTATAGGTTTTTATATTCATTGCTAAATTAATAAAATATTCATTAATAAAATCTCTTTGTGAATGTACTTACCGGGTGAAACTGCTGATCGTCTTCAGCGGTTTTAAATGTGCCTTTGCAGATCCAAACTGCATCAGGTCACTCGAAAGTACCTTTTATTAACAGAATTGGGAGGTGTTGCCCTGTACAAGTATGACAGCAATGTAAAGGCTCTATCTGATAGAGTTAGAGCATTCTCTGCATTGTTTATGCTCTGTTGCATTTTAGCATAAAGAATTTATCTTTCAGTTGAAGTCTATCATAAAGGCTCCATCCACCGAGTGAGTCTTCAAAACATCTTCCTTCCTAAAAAAAGGTGATACAGGTCAGCTATCAGTCATAGGCATGGTTTCATAATTTTATACTTAATCCATTTTAGCATGCTAATTAATTTTTTGGATGAGTCTTATTTTGATCAACTAAAACATACAGGACATGTAAAGGTCTTATCTAAGACTCCAATCACTGATGACTGTTTCCTGTTTGATGAGTGTCAGCTCGAGTCACGTCGCCATTCTGGCTTACAGCTAGCAAATGTTTACTAAAATATTATTGAGAGTGCTTCACATGCTACCCAGGGCAATGAGCAAACCATGGGCCAAAAGAAAGGGGCTTAACTTGTCTAACTGAAGGGAAGAAAACTGAAATCTGTATATTTTGGTCCATCTGTAAAATACCATGCACGCTGTAAGATCAAGAGTTCTAAGAAAGGTGTTCTAAAAATGTTCTTTTTCTAAAACATCTCAAATGTGGTTAATGTCCTGTATTTTTTGTGTTTTCAACTGAATCTACACTAGTGTGTCAAAACAGTAACCATTTAATTTGGTTTATATTTACAGAAAATCGATAAACTTTTAGGATTTTAGGGAGCAAATACTTGTGAAGGTCAAATTTGCCTCAGAACACTAGAATAGAACATATTCATATAGATGGTTTTACTGTCGGATGAACTGAATTGATACAAAACCTGATGAATGTAAAGCAAAGCTGAATCAGTCGGTCAGTCTGTGAGAGAACGGGCTTCACTCCCCATTCAGCAGGAACTGCAGAGGGTCTACAAAATAATCTGCAGTGACCTCTTCTCCACCAGTGCTTCAGAACTATCCAGTTTGCAGCCAAACACACACAGAGCCAGACCTCAGAACCAGCTATCATTATAAAAACATGCCTTAACCTGGCATGCCACCCCCATCTGGGTGCCATGATTCAGCTGTGATAAGATACTACAGAAATTTGAACTGGTTTTGGTTTCTAAATTGATACAGCTCTGCCATTTAATTCAGCGAACCATTCTTTTAACTAAATGATACTTTGTAAATCTATGTGTATCATCGTTTGATTTAGTTCATACTTTTACTACCACAGCTGTTTCCTAGTTAAATATAATTTGACCCATACGAGTTGGAAAGTCCTGCTAAAATTATTTGGTATTAAATAATAAATAAACGGCCAAAAGTAATTTACAGTTAATGCACATTATATTACTTGGATTTATGGGTGTAATATACACTATAATATTAAAAGCATTGGTGTCATATCATTTAATCTTTGAATTTAGGTGTTTTTCATTATGTTGCCATGCGTGTATGGAATTAAGCACTTCAAGCATCAAGCAGTCTTCACAAACATTGTTGAAAAGTAGTCTAGGGTTAAGGAATAGGGTTGTTCTAAAGACATCAACAGTTTAGTTTATGTAAAATGTATGCCCTCCTAGATATCCCACAATCAGTTATAAGTGGTATTATAAATGGTAACGTGGAAGCAACTACAGTAACTCAGCCACAAAGTAGCAGATCACATAAAGTAAACTTGTGAAATTAACAGCAATTGGTATGTATGTATAATATTTAGGTGGCCCAGTACTTTTGTTTTAATAGTGTTTCCTCTTCAGTTCCATTTTTCTTTTATGTCATGTTGTTGAGAGTGTTCAAAAACTTTTGGATTATACGAATTGACCCGAATTCATTTATGATATTTTATACCACTCTTGTTTATTGGACGTGGATTGGAGAACATCTGAGTATATGAGCAGTGTTTGAAGTTACAGGCCTACTTAGGACTTGTTGCAGCTGGTACAGTAATTAAAAGGTTCACAAGATGAAAATGATATTGTCAAAGTTCAACACTGGAACTAAAAACCCAAACTGAAAACAGGTCAGCTGAAAAAACCTTTATCAGGAGAGTTTGAAAGGAGTGCTCTGTTCAGCTATTACAGCAATGAAATGGCTATGGTTGACTGAGAAACAACATTACTGACATATTGCTCATTACTGATGTCCTGTGAGTGACATTGTGATATTATCATGCAGTCTGTCATTTAGAAAACAAAAATAATTATAAATGAATTCATTTGAGCTTACATTTTGTTGCAATTGATGTTTTTGCAAACATGTAACCACTCGACTACTTATTTGCGATATTTGTTAGGACAATATATAACCATGTAACCCGAATGTCCATTAATTTGTTTTACCAATGGTTTTATTTTTAGTGTGTTCATGCTTTTAAACTTGTGAAGTACTCTTTTCTTCCTTTAATCACCCAGGACTAATATCCTATCACTAATATCCTGAATATCTCAGCTGAGTCTTTCAGGTATTAGCCTTGAGATAAAATTTATAATGAATGTGTTGACTACTTCCTTGTGAGTCATTACATCCTATCTCTTATTTAATGCCAGCACTGAACAAAGTTACCCTTTTGCTACTAGATAAGTAATATTATCAGATCACTAAACATTTGTCTTTCATCTCTGTGAGTTGTCAGACCAGCGGACAAATCGTAAAAATGAAACTCAGTCTTATCACATTCCTTTATGCACATCAGTGCAACACCCACAAACAGTCCACCATATGTACTGAATGCCTTCACTTTAAAAATTACCATTTAGATGTCAAAACCACGTGATGCTTTACAAGCAGTTTGCCATTATAACACAAAGTGGGCAATTGAGCCAATAAAGCTCATAGACTCATAGAAAAAAGAGTGACGCATCACACAAAAAAGTTTGAGAATATAATTTTATCGAAATCCTTAATAGCAAAAATGAGATATGTAGCATTCTTGGTATTCTGAAGTTGTGGTGTAAATCTATGTCCCAGTGGTCATTAAAATTACAGTTATAGCTGCCACGTGGCAACACTTGCTTGTAGAAGGACTTTTTAATGGGTGTAACCACCTATTATAAAGCTTTTATTTAGCTTTAGGTTGTCGGGGGTAAGTGCTGGATATTTTTTCACACTGCACAAATTAAAGAAGTAACAAACTATATCAAGATTCTATAAAGGAAATTAACCTTAGTTTTTGTTTTTGTTTTTTTTTTACTTTGCATTCACATTTTATGGGAATAAACTTAAACTTAAAATCAAGCACATTTTATATTCACTGTGTTAGGAACACTAACTTTTATCTTACTATAGCTCCCAACATTGTTATGCACTCTTTCCGGTTGACCCCACTTCTGTTTTTATGGGCAGTGATTCTTGTGAATAAACCAATTCTGCCACATCAATTATTACCATTCCTACTGAGTCCTGTAATATTAGGACTTTGCTGCCAACTGGTGGTAGACAAATTAAAATGGAGATGGTATTGGCGTGAGTAGATCAAGCCTAGGTAATAAAGCAGGTCAAATAAAACATATTTTATTACAATATCAGCCTCTGCACTGAGAATTCTACTGAAATTGATCAAATTAATCATTTATGTCATGTCAGTATTTTGGATAAATATTTGTAACTGGCAAATTACAATAAGTAGAACCATATAGTGTAGTGTACACATTCTGTGCGGTTTCATTTTATAACTGTACTTGGTCATTTTTCCCCCAGCTTAAGTTTTAAGCAAACTAATTAACCATGACTAATATCAATAGACAAATCAACTCAGATGCTGGAGAAATGCAGATGAGAAATGTTGCACAAAAAGAAACAAAACATACCAAACTAATTCCCAGAAAGTTGATTCTGTTCATCTGGATGTTTAACTGGGACACTCCCACTGAAAAAGCTATGGGCAGAAGAACAGAATCAACTTTCTGGGATTTTCCTTACCTGGATGATTGAGCATGCACCAAGATAACAAAGTAATTGTAATCACTGCTGGATTAAACAGAAATGCAGCTGTGGGGTGGGAGTTAGGTTAGAAGTGAGTGTGCAGTACAAGCCACAGTTTATCATAGCACACTCTGCAGGTGAACCTTAAAAGCAGAATTCCTGAATTTTCTTTACTAGAAGCTAAGAGTACATACCGTTTGGGTGTTCACCTGAAACTGACTACAAGCTTACCCTGTAAGCTGTGTCTTACCTGTACATCTTTAGGCACTTTGTTACTACCAGCCTGTCACAAAAACCCATACTTGATTCCTAATTGTGAAAGGTGAAAGGTGAACCTTTCACAATTAGGCTCCACCCAACAACTCCAATTAGGCTCCACCCAACAAAACAACTCAAACCAAGCTCCACTCCTTGTGGGCAGGTTTGAGTTGTTTTTCTTCCCTTTATAAGCACAGGTGAAAGTAATTAGTGTCTCTTCATTTGAGGCTGGAGTGGTGTCTGTGAGTCCTTTGAGCAGAGCACTGGTGTGGTGGATCTTGATTTTCCAAAGACATAAACCCCATAGAAAATAATATTTTGATTCTGCCACTGTTGGGTCTGGCATTAAGGGTTGTGCTTTATCTTTAGAAGGCCCAATTCATGTGAGAGCCTTGTAGTTGACTTTCTGTGTTATTTGTTGGTTGGAAGATGTCTCTGAGGCACAGAAAAGGGCCATTAAAATGATTGTAACAATAAGCTAGTAAGTTGCTCGGAATTGCATTATCAAGCATGGAAAGCATTTATAGGGCCTGTATATGGAGTAAAGCAAATAATATGTCATGTGAAGAATCCATTTGTCTCCTTCATATGTATATTACTATTGTCCCACCTTGTTCACAAAAACAGGATCGATCTTTTATTCTTCAAGGTTTTCACATCTCCAAACATTAGCAACACAGAGGTTACTAAATTGGTGTGGCCAAAGAGAGTGAAAATGTCTGCATATTGTCTGCTTGTGTTGATATGTTTATTTTTATGTGGTGAAGTCAGGTGACTTCCACTGCAAGCAAATGTCAGTACAAATACATAAAAACTATCTATTTATCTTTTTTGTTGTTGTTGCCTCAGAATTATATTCTCAAGTTCTCTTTCATGCTTTGGTACCAAAACTGCAAAGTCAGTGATGTATCTCTGTCTGAATTCACTGAGCTCCTCTTCTTGTTTTCTGGCTTCCACTTGATTTTTCCTCCTCTTCTCCTCCACTTCTTCTTCTTAGTTTTCTTGCAATATTTTCCATTCTTATTCCCCTTCTTTTCTGAGTCTATATTCTTCTGCTCTGTTTTTTCCTGCTCAAAATTGATTGAGCTTTTTCTGCCGTACTTGCTCCTCCAGTCTCAGTTGCTCATCTTGAAGGCTTTTTTCCTCCCACTCTTTTTGTTTTTTATTTGCAATTTGTATTTATTTTCCTCTTTATTTTGTTCCCATTGCTATTGTGCTCTCTTTTCCTCATCCTTTTTCTTAATAAGTTCATTCTTCTGTCTTTCTATCTCTTCTTCCTTCTCCTTCATAATATTTTGGATTTCCTTTTGAATCTCAGACGTGTCGTAGTTACCATCAAAGGTCAAAGCAAAAAGAACAAAACTGCTTTACACTGACATATATTAACATGTCGCAATTTCTCACCAAAATTGCTATATAAATATATAAAATACCACATTTAATGCACCTGATAGCTATCAATAATGTACTTGTAGACTTTTTAAAAATTGACTTTCATGCAAGTACTCACCAGAAGAAGTATGTCAGATGTGCATGTAAATGACAGCGACCACAAGAAAAGCAATTCACATGATTCAGGGGGCTGGGCTTTGTCTTTGTATGACATTCCTATGAATCCATCACTAACTGAATAATTTAATAAGTGAAAAAGAGAAACATTTTTTTTGCAAGATATTTCAATAAAAGTTCATGAAAATTGTAAAAAGAAACATTTTTATTAAGCTTTCTTAATTTGTTTTCACGTATTCCTCAGACCTAATTTGGTAAATAAGCTACATTTCTTGATATAAATATCAAAATTACACTAAAAACAGTTATTATTGATACTGAAATTCAAAATGAGGCTTAATTTTATAACTCTGCTTGTCCATTGGTTATTTTAAGTGATGTAAAGAACAATGCCTATAGTCTGTTTTTGATGTAAACTCAATTGCTAACATATTAAGTAGTCACTAAACAAAAGGAACAACCTAAATCTAATTATACATTTAGGTTGTTTCTCAGTTATACTCAGTATGCAGTATAGTGCTAACCCCTAAACTGTCCACAAACTTTACCTAAAATCAGAGAAGAGAATTGTACCAGTATGATATGTTCAAAATCTGGCTTAAGTAAGTCACATGTAACACAAGTGTTCCCAACTTAAGCCTATTCCTTTCCCTGGAGACTGAAATGTACTGAAACAGTGACTGTGTTCGCCTACAGCTCTATCCTGTCGTTAAGTGATGACGTGACGAATCCTACTTCCGGGCCTAAAGTAGTCTGCGTTTAATATGGCTTTTGTGTTGTTAACATGTTTAATATTATGTATTTTCTTCTATTTAATCTCAAAAAGCTCCTAAAACAGTCAGCGATCACTGTTGACCTCCCTCGGCTTTTATTACCACTAATCATTTATTTAAGCTCAGTTTTTAAAACCTTAGGATGTAACTACAGCCCAGCCCATGCAGCAGTATATGAATGACTAACCTCGTATTGTGGATGGAATATCTCAGTTGTTCTCCTGGCTGAAGTTTGGTCCTTTTACAGCATCCTGCCATGCGATTACATTTGTTCCTCTCACGTTAACTTTTATCGAGTGGAAAAAAAGTTAGCTTGTTTATATTATGCTAACATAGCTGTGTCGCCAGCGGTCACGTAGCACATCATTATATACCAGCTAGCCAAACTTCAATAACCCTACAAACGTCACTGCTCTTTAGTTTTCTGTCTTCATTTATGTTGGAAGTGATAACAGAGCTGTACGTTTTAATTTGTTTCCAAAACCCCGCAGTCAGGACATGCTATATTGTATTTAGATAGAAGCTAGCGAGCTAACTCCCTGCTAACTTCTAACTCCGTTAAATGTCATAAATTCCGTTTTCATGGATGCCTGGATGTTAAACTCAATTGTTACACCTGGTAGAGCAGAACGCTGATCATTTTATTAAAGATGAAAGACTTTAGACAGTTTTTCAACTCTCAGTAATGCCATAGTGATCGTTTGATATATGGACCTGCAGCGGAGTTTAGGCCCAGACACAACTAGTGACGTCAGACTTAACGACCGGATAGCTATAGAACTTTCTAGCAGCACAGGAGTGCTTTACATAAGCACAAAAAGGAAATTAAGTCATATGTGATGTAATGTTAGTCCAACCAGAAACAAACCAAACGACTTAATTATTGGTCAAAGCTAAAAGCACAGTGCCTACATTAAATCTTTTTACATATTGCTCATCCTTGTGTGTTCCATAGTGAGTGGTTTTCTTTATATGCTTACACAAGAAAAAAAATATGTCAAAGGCCGTTTTCTTCTCTACTGCAAACCATTTCTTGGCAATTAGGAAATTTATATTCATCATGAGGTTTTAATGTGGGACACTTACAATGACTATGTTTATATGTAGAAACGTACATATGGAAACTTGTTTTCTTTTTCTTTTCTTTCAAAGGAAATGGCCTCCATTAAACACTCATTGATGTGATAACTTCAAATGTTGCTCACATCCAAGTAATCATCACTAAAGTGTCATCATATCAGCATATCAATGTAAAAAGTCATAAGATGGAACAGTTTTTTTCTGTGGCTCTCCTCACGTGTTCCTGGATCCACTCATTTATTTCTTCGTCGTGAGCTTTCTGTAGTTCATCAATTTGTTTTGGTTCTGGACTATACCGTTTGAGCTCGCTCATTTCTTCGTCTTGTCTCATCTTCATTAGGTCAAAGTCCTTTTGATATGCCTTGTTCCTGCGCAGCTGTTGAATCATTAAATCGTTGGTTTTTTGTTGCTTTAGTTTCATATTCTCAACTTCCCTTTCATGCTTTGCTACCACAACTGCAAAGTCAGTGGTGTATCTCTGTCTGAAGTCATTGAACTCTTCTGCTTGTTTTCTGGCTTCCTCTTGATTTTTCCTCCTCATCTCCTCCACTTGCTTTTCTAAGTTTTGTTGCAATTCTCTCCATTCTTTTTCCTCCTGTTCTTTTCTGAGTCGATCCTCTTCTTTTCTTCTGCATTCATGTTCTTTTTTTTCTTGCTCATATTCAGCTCTGAGTTTTTCCAGTCGTGCTTGCTCGTTCAGTCTCAGTTGTTCTTCTCGAAGTCGTTTTTTCTCCCACTCTTTTTGTTCGTTCTCCCAAGCCTCTATTTCTTTTTGTATTTCTTCGTTCCTTTGGTTTGCATATGTAGCTTCTTCCGGTTTTGATTTAATTTCTTTCTCTTTCTGTACCCACTGTTGTTGCTGAATTTCTTCCCTCCGTTTCCTCTCTTTTTCCTCTTCTGCTCTCTTTTCCTCCATCCTTTTCTTCTCCTCTTCCTCTTTCTTAATGAGTTCTTCCTTCTCTTGCAATGCTTTTTCTCTTGCAGCTCTTTCTTGTTCAATTTTAAGCTGCGCCTCTTGGAATTTCTTTTCATGTTCTTTCTCAAGGTCCTTCTTCTGTCTTTCTATCTCTTCTTCTTTCTTCTTCATAATCTTCTGCATTTCCTTCTGAATTGCTGCATCTGCCTCTTTGAACATTTCTGAGGTGTAGTAGCCGCCACCATTTTTCTTCACCATTGACTCAATCTTGGCGAGCAGCTGACTGACTTGAGAGTGGTTATTTGGATCATTATTATTGAACACATGGTATCGTCCTCCACAATCAGCTGTCAGTTTTTTTAGGAATCCTTCGCTGTCTTCTTCTATATAACTCTCAACTGTTTCATTTTTTAGGTCATCTCCTCTGGTGAATAAGATAATGATGAAGTCATTTGAATTCTTGCCAAAAAAGTTTTTGATGAGCTCCACAGTTTTTTTTTCCTCCTCTGTAAAACGACCGACCTGCAGGACGAGTAAGAACACATGAGGTCCGGGAGCCAACATTGTGACGCATTTCACGAGTTCCTGTTTAACATCATCGTTGGACAGACTTGTGTCGAATAAACCAGGTGTGTCCACCACAACAACAGGGTGTCCATTAATCTCTGTTGTTTCTTTTTGGCAGAGCTTGGTTACTGATTTCATACTGGCTTTCGATTGGAAGCAGTCCCTTCCCAATATAGTGTTTGCAGTGGCACTTTTTCCACTTCCAGTCTTACCAATCAACACGATTCTGAGATGATTCTGAATTTCTTTTTGTGGAATCTGTCTGTTTTTCGGAATTTGTTCTTTTTTCGGAATTTGTCCTTTTTTCATATTTTTTTCAAAATGTATCTTCCTATTCAGTTCAGACATTACTTCACGTTTCAATCCGGGCAGTTGAAACTTTTGGCGAGGTCTTGGAATCATTGTTATTTTGAAGCCTGTTGATGCCTCACCTTTCATCTTTTCTACAGCATCCAATAACTGAGGGATCTGCTCTTGGTCATTGATGTTGAAGACAATGTATCGGCCAAAAAAGCTCTGAACAAGTTCTTGGATTTCTCTATTAGTTTTTACATAGTTAACAACATCTGGGTGTGTAGGATCTGACTCCACAGTAAAAAGAATCATGGTGTAGTTGTCAATTTGGGATCTCAGTGTATCTTTAATAGTCTTCACCTCTTTCTTGTCTTCACTGGTTGGAGGATCCAGTGGTTGAACCAAGATGAAGGCATGGACACCCTCTGGATCACAGAGGGAAATACTCTTGAATGCTTCCTTCTTTGTTTCCTCCTGAGGTTTTCCACAGAGAGCAGGCAGCTCCACCAGTGAAACCAGACGACCGCACACCGCAGCCTCATTTTTAATACACTGAGATGATTCAGATTCTACTTTTCTTTCTCCCAGGATGGCATTTGCAGCTGAAGTTTTACCAACTCTAAATCTCCCAAACAGCACCAAATTCAAAGGTTTTAGTTTTTGGCTTTGAGGTACTTCCATACTGGCCTGAGGGTTTTCATTCTGTTCCGGGTTTAAAGGAGGAATTAAACGTGGACTTTGCAGGTTTTCCTTATCAACTCGAGGTCTGTCATACAGTTCCAAATTCAAAGAAGAGTTTAGATTAGGAATTTGAGGCTCTTCAGTCCCATGTCCAGATTCTTCTTGTGGTTCTTCTACTAGGTCAGCAGTCTCTGTAAAGTTCAAATGTCCTCCCCTGTTGTAAGCCACAATTTTTTCCATCTCTCCCATCAGTGTTTCACGATCTGAGTCACAAAAGTCTTTTTTGTCAAAGTCAAGTGTGTAATGCATCTTTCTGCAGTTCTGGATAAAATGATCTATTGCTGTATTCTTTGCTTCACCCTTTTGTGTTGTGATGACCATAGAGTAGTTAAAGGCATCACCACCAAACAAGCACAGGATAGACTTCAGAGTGCGTCTGTCATCCTCAGTGAAATCAGAAGGATTGAGTACGAGCAGGAGAACATTTGGTCCAGGGGGGCAACGGGCCACACATATCTTCATTTCAAGTTTCACTTTTTTCACAGGCAGACTGAAGAGGTCTGTGGTTTTTGCCACTGTTACAGGTATTTTTCTCCATTCTCCTTGGACTATAGATTTCTTCGTTGTTAGACGAATAGGATTCTTTTTCCCTGTGATGAAGTTGCTTAGTGCAGTCTTTTCATTATCATTCTTCCCAAATATGACAATCCTGAATTCAGATGCTGTAGAAAAACACAAAAAACACATTAAATGCCATGTTGTTCCAATTTGCTTAGTGTCATAGTTGTCTTTTAATTTTGTGTTTTTGTCTTGCATTGATCTAGTGAAGCTGTTTAATGATAGGAGTCTTCCTGTCATACAAAAGCTTGCATTTGTTAAGTCTGTATCCGCATTTGGTGTCACTTTAAGGTTTTCATTTTTTAATTAATTGCAGCTAGTCATGAAAAATCCCAACATGGCAAAAGCACGGTGATAAGATGTTGAAAAGATGCGTTTGCAGATGTCTAAATAACAGCAATACGTGATTGTTTTTTTCTGTACAGTAAACACAACCCTTGTTTCAATGACCGTTACTAGGTTTACAAAGATTTAATTGATGATCAAATTTAACCCTTGGATAACACTCCATAGATACCTATTGCTCTGTGGGACAGTAAGGTTGCCACCACTCTATATTGTAATCATTAGTTATTATTGATCTCGGACTCTCTTCCACAACATGTCTTTGTCCTGTCTTCCTCCACTCACCCCCACCCAGTCATGGCAGATGGCTGCCCCTCCCTGAGCCAGTTCTTTTGGCAGTTTCTTTGTATTGTAAGGCAGTTTTTCCTTCCCACTGACACCCAAGTGTTTGCTCATAGCGGGTCATCTGCTTGTTTGGTTTCTCTGTTTCTCTGTCTTTACCTTACAATATAAGGCGCTATTAGGACATTGTTGTTATAATTTAGTGCTATATAAATAAAACAGAATTGAAAAGTTCAGAGGGTTCTGGTGAAAAAAAAACAAGGATCATCAGGGAAAAAAGAGCTGCTAAACACAATGCACACACACACACACACACACATACGTGTTTTCGTGATATATCAGTACCTATGACAAAAATGTGACAAATGGGAACGTGCCTTTCCGAAGGTCCTAGAGGCATGGGAATCACAAAAAATTTGACCCATGCTTCCAGGAACACGCCCATCTGTTGAGATTTTGGCTAGGGTTAAATTTTGGTCAAACCTGAATTTACTGCTACTTATGAGGACACTGTCAGGTTTATGTGACTTATGAGTACCATAAGGTCACACACTGATATTTCATGTTTAGGTGAATTGTGAAGCCCATGGATACACACATAATTTTCAAGTATACATGACTTATAAGGACCAGGTAAGGGTAGGGTCTGTATTTTCAGCTTGGCTCCTTTTGAGATTACAATATAATAGGCATGGATGCACAATAGTAATGCTCACCAGTCGGGTAACTTCTGACAGAAATATCAGACATTCATGTATTAATACAACACAGTAAATCTGAGCTGTATAGAGACTTAAAAAGAGACATAGCTCAAAAATGTGGTCAGTCTACTTTTTAAGTCTTAATATTGTATTGCATTAATTTTGCAGTGAATGTTTATGTGAATAAAAACATGGAACATTATCTGCCTTTCTTATTTTTTAATTACAAAATGCACCCATAATAAACAGATTTATGGGTATAAACAATGCAATGCAGAGACCTGTAATACTGAAATAACTGAGAGTGACCTGCAATACTGAAATAACTGAGAGTAACAAACTATCTCCCTTGAGTATGAACTTATGATGGCAAAAGCCAGGAGAAAGGACTGAGTAACTTAGTCATTACTAACCCAACAGACAAAGTCAAAAATTTAAAAAAATAAAAATGAAAATAAAGTTAATTTTAACTGATGCAGCATTCCTGAACCTGCATTTTGTAATTTTATTTATTCATCTTTCTTTTCAACGCTATGATCCTGTTGTGGATGTAATACTTTATGGCAACCCAGTCTCTGCCTTTCAGAGCTGCCGGCTCTGCTTGGATGCAGGAGTCACATTCCTTTTTGCCAGGTACTTTGCAGCTTGTTACGAAATGAAGCAAGTGCCGCTCAACAGCCTTGACTTCATCATCTGTCCACTTGCACCTTGCCTTCCCAGCTGTCATAAATGGAAACAAAAAAAAAAAAATATCTTAATGCGAATGTAAGATAAGAGAGAAAATATTCTAGTTTATAATGTGAATACAAAATGTTCTTAAACCTTGCTTTCTACTGGAGCACTTTAAAGGAGCAATAAGCACAATTCATCATACTTAGGTTGAAGGAATTAAAAATGGCTATGTGAATAATTAGAGGTGTAATTTCATCTGGAGTACAGCATGAAGTCACAATCCCTCTCTCTGTGTTGATCTCCAGCCATAGACTTTGGTTTGGTTTACAGGCAGTGCAAAACAGCACACCTAGCAGTGAAAAGATATTGCTTAATGCTCCTTCAAGGATGCTTGGGATGAACCATTTGAAGTGCTGTGTTCTGCTGGGAATCAAAGAAGATTAAACGGATTATGATAAAAGCTCTTAATAGTGTCATGCCTGAAAAGAATAAACATGTCCATTGATTACAAGTATATTCACTTAAAACATTTTGTATATGGGTACCTTTACCCTTTCCTGGTGCAGTGTTGCTGATGTTTTTGCTGTCCAGGGTGGTTGAGGCAGAAGCGCCCTCCATGTTGTCCAGGGTGGTTGAGGCAGAAGCGCCCTCCATGTTGTCCAGGGTGGTTGAGGCAGAAGCGCCCTCCATATTGTCCAGGGTGGTTGAGGCAGAAGCGCCCTCCATATTGTCCAGGGTGGTTGAGGCAGAAGCGCCCTCCATATTGTCCAGGGTGGTTGAGGCAGAAGCGCCCTCCATATTGTCCAGGGAAGCTGAGTAAAGTGTGTGGCTTTGGTTCCCAGAATTCTTGGTCCTTGAGCCTTTGAAAAGTAACAGTGAAATATGAGAATTAATGCATTTTTTGTTTGCATTGTAGGCAAAGTCAGCATTGGGCAGTGTGTAATTTTACATTTGATATGAATATTTTACATGTGAACATAATCTACTAATAATACTCATCAATACTCAGGCATCTCCCTAGCAACACATTACTTGCATGCACTACCTCTCAACTTGTGTGCCTAATCTCACAGAAGTGGACCTCCTAATCCTTATATTTAATATTTGCCTTTGTATTGCTTATTTATGCATTTTGCCAGACTTCAATGTATCCAGATCTTTTAGTACCATATTAATGAATGGTGTCTACCATTCTGTCTAATTTATATACTGCTGTCCCTTAAGCCCATCTAACATGATATGAACCTATTAACTGTCTCCAGTCTCATAACTTAAAGATATTATCACACACTGGGCAAGTCAAGATACCTTTGTGTTGTTGAGGGTCAGTGATGGTTTCTCCACTGGAATCATCATCACTTGTAACTGCTTCATCTTGTTGGGGAAAAATAATCAAGACAAAATATTTATATTAGAATCTGCTGAACATTCACAAATGTTATATTCAAAGATAACTATGTTTCAAAAAAAAAAGAAAGAAAAAGAATTCACCATCAGGATTGATCACGATGTCATCCAGCCCTTTCCCCTGCAGGTCAGACAGTTTTCCTTTCTCCATTGCAATCAACAGTTTGCTGACTTTTGCAAGCTGCAGGGTACTCTCTGGAAGCCGGTAGAATTCTCGATGGACACGGATGTCGTGTCCGAGAAAGGTGGCAAGTTGATCCATTTCATTTTCTTTTAGATTTAGTACTGTGGACAAAGTGGCAACTTGTTTCCGCAATCTTGTTGAGGTAAGGGCCTCTGGGTACTTTGCACCACATTTATTTGCATACTTGCGAAAGCAGTCAGAGCCTCTGTAATGGGAAAGGACACCTGGGCGTGCAAACAAGTACACATTCTCTGTGTGGACTTGACACTCACTTCTGGCTTTTGCGAGGAGCTCCATTGCAGTGATCATGTCAGGTGTGAGAAGCACAGGTACCATTCTTGATCTTTTACCACGAATCTCAACTCTGTCAAAGTGCTTTGCAAGTTTCCTTTCAAACTCAGTTAGGCCGATCATAATGTCAGGATTCAACTCTGTGCGATTCCGGGATGTAAAAACCTGGAGCTCCATTTTTGAAACTTCTCCTTGCCTTTTTCTGTTAAATAGCACTACCTGCGTCAAAGTCACTTGAGCAAGATTTCCGAAGGTTGTGCTGTTGGGTTTTTCCTCAAGGTCCTTCATGTACATTGCGGACTTAGTAGCAAGAAACTTATGCAGCAGTGACACATCCTGTGTAAATGGCAAAATCTGTGGTTTATTCCATTTGGCTTGTTGAAGTGTGCCCAATGCAGCAGCTGAAATGGACTCTGACCACTTTTTTTCATACAGAGTGGCAAACTGCTTGGCTGACTCTGCAACATCATAGCGATTTGCAATGATGGCTTTACACTGCACAATGCTTGCAACTTTAGCCAAACTGTGTCCCAATTTCAAAGCCAAGGATGGGGTTTTATATGAGTTGCTCTCCAGCTCATAACCAGCAACAGCTCTGACTGCTTGTATGACATGGGGAAAGTTACTAGGCATAACAAGGTCTTCTGTGCTCTTCAAAGGTGTCATAGCTCTGGCGGTTATCAATAACCTTGCGATCTCTCTCATTTTTTGGCGTATGTAATCATTCCTTTTCTCATTTGGTTTTCTGCCATTGTACAGTGACTCACCAAGGCTAAGAATGTCTCTTTCACTCGTTACTACAAAGGAAATGTCATCCTGATTCATTTCACAAGCAATCTTCCATACAGCTTCATGAACTTGATCAGGTTTCGGTAATTGCAGATGCATCCGTCTTTGCCCAGAGGGAGCTTCCTCATTAAACCTCTGAGGGCACCTTCTCACATGCCTCCAAAGGCAATTTCTTGCATATAGTCCTTGACAAAATTTACAATGACGGTAGTCCTCAGATCCTGTTGCAGTAGTGGGTCTTCGACAAGCAACCATTTCTCCAGCACCAGAAGTTGCCACAGTAGCATTATGGTTAAAGTTTCCCCTCTTCTTAATAGAGCGCAACAAATCTCTTCTTTGGCGGGATCTTTTATCATAACTGAAGGCGCTTGCAACTTCCGGCACATTACCGTGGGCAGATTCAAGGTGTCTTGCCAATTTAGCAATGGCCTTTTTACAATATAGACAGTATTGCTTCTTGTTGTACTTGCTTTGTCTTTCCGTGTTTGGCAAAGGTAGGACTTTTATGGAGCTGTTTTTAGGTGATGTGACCCCTGATGAATCAAAACTGCGGCTTGTTACCGAAGTACTGTGACTGCTACTTCTCAGTGACAAACTAAATGTTGTAGGTTTCTCTGAACTGGTGATCTTCCCACTGTGTCCTGAAGCCGTCTCCAATGCCATGTCATTTAACGTATTTTGGGGAACCACAGATTCTGTGATTTTCATGTCCACACTATGGAGACTTGTGTCAGAGGAACTGCCACATGAATCTGGGAAATAGTCTTTATCTTCATAATCCGTACAATCTGAGAATTCATCAGTAGAGATCTGAACGAAAATGGAGAAAAAGCATCTTTGTATTTATTGATAGCTAGAATGTCATTCCCCCTCCAGTAGCAGAACATTCTGCAATCCATGACTTGATGAAAATGCGTTCATGTAGTAAATATGCATAATTACATAGCATAAACAATTTGAATGAAGAAGAAAAAGGCAGCTGGCTTACCTGCTCTGAGGTAGCTGTCTGATGAAAGGTGACAACTCGAGATTTTTGTCTGGCCTTACATGAAACGTAACAAATTCAATGTTTGTAATTATAATTCATTTGAAAACTAACTCAAAATTATTATGCAATTCAGTATACTGTAAAACACATTGCTAGTAGGTTAAGAAATGAAAAACAATGCATTGTAACTTAATAGTGAGAATGATTTAACATACATATCACACACTTTGTGTCATGTCATTTTGACATAAAATATTGAGTGAAAATTCATTTGTGAACCCTGTCAATCATTAATTATATTTGCTGAGATGAAAGGCTGCATTGAGTTCACATATATGTCACAGATACATTAGTGAACATTATTGACAGGAGGATCTGAGTTCCTTATTCTGGATATTATAGAAACTTAACACAGTACAGTTCTGCTACCCAACAATATGAGGACAGTGTAACACACACACACACTAGAGTTGTTGGTCCAACCATATGAGGACGTATTCTGAAACACACTCATGTTCTTCACAGCTTGAAACAATATGAGGACATGACGACTGAACACATGTAGAGTTCATGTTCCTGACTTCTAACTTGTCCTGCTGTTGTCAATAAAAGCTCTAAACCCAACACTGATGTAAAGCCATCTATTTCCCCAGAAATCCAATCATGTAAACTGATCAGCTTCAGGTTAAATGGACAAAAACATGTGTAAAAGGACAAAAATATTAAATTTAATTGGAATAAAGACCAAATTGATGCTTTAAAGGGAAAGTTTGGACTAACAACTGGTATAGCCAATTTCCTTCTCCTAATGCTAATGTTGATTTTGGGAAACTTTCACTCAAACTGATTGTTTTAATACAATCAAAGTGCATTTCATTTATGCACTAGGCCCAACTGACTCATATACTTGATTCCAAATACAAAAATTAATGCGTAACCTGTTGGAGGAATGAAGTGGATTTGTCACTCACTTCTTGGTCTGTAGGAGGTTGGGACAGGGTCTCAACACTTGGTGTCTGCAACAAAAGACAACAATATAATGTCAGAAACATTCTGTACTACAAATGCTGACTAGCTCATTAACTACAGATCATACTTGTTTCAGTGAACATTATTACAGAAGGATCTGACTTCCTTATGCCAGATTCTATAGAAACTTAACACAGTACAGTTCTGCTACCCAACAATATGAGGACAGTGTAACACACACACTAGAGTTGTTGGTCCAACCATATGAGGACGTATTCTGAAACACACTCATGTTCTTCACAGCTTGAAACAATATGAGGACATGACGACTGAACACATGTAGAGTTCATGTTCCTGACTTCTAACTTGTCCTGCTGTTGTCAATAAAAGCTCTAAACCCAACACTGATGTAAAGCCATCTATTTCCCCAGAAATCCAATCATGTAAACTGATCAGCTTCAGGTTAAATGGACAAAAACATGTGTAAAAGGACAAAAATATTAAATTTAATTGGAATAAAGACCAAATTGATGCTTTAAAGGGAAAGTTTGGACTAACAACTGGTATAGCCAATTTCCTTCTCCTAATGCTAATGTTGATTTTGGGAAACTTTCACTCAAACTGATTGTTTTAATACAATCAAAGTGCATTTCATTTATGCACTAGGCCCAACTGACTCATATACTTGATTCCAAATACAAAAATTAATGCGTAACCTGTTGGAGGAATGAAGTGGATTTGTCACTCACTTCTTGGTCTGTAGGAGGTTGGGACAGGGTCTCAACACTTGGTGTCTGCAACAAAAGACAACAATATAATGTCAGAAACATTCTGTACTACAAATGCTGACTAGCTCATTAACTACAGATCATACTTGTTTCAGTGAACATTATTACAGAAGGATCTGACTTCCTTATGCCAGATTCTATAGAAACTTAACACAGTACAGTTCTGCTACCCAACAATATGAGGACAGTGTAACACACACACTAGAGTTGTTGGTCCAACCATATGAGGACGTATTCTGAAACACACTCATGTTCTTCACAGCTTGAAACAATATGAGGACATGACGACTGAACACATGTAGAGTTCATGTTCCTGACTTCTAACTTGTCCTGCTGTTGTCAATAAAAGCTCTAAACCCAACACTGATGTAAAGCCATCTATTTCCCCAGAAATCCAATCATGTAAACTGATCAGCTTCAGGTTAAATGGACAAAAACATGTGTAAAAGGACAAAAATATTAAATTTAATTGGAATAAAGACCAAATTGATGCTTTAAAGGGAAAGTTTGGACTAACAACTGGTATAGCCAATTTCCTTCTCCTAATGCTAATGTTGATTTTGGGAAACTTTCACTCAAACTGATTGTTTTAATACAATCAAAGTGCATTTCATTTATGCACTAGGCCCAACTGACTCATATACTTGATTCCAAATACAAAAATTAATGCGTAACCTTG